GGCTATAACAAAACAATGGAATATTAGTATTGTTTCTGGGGTTTATTTGATTTTGTGTTTTGATTATTTTTACTTCCTCGTATTTTCCTGTGGAGGCACATTTAGATGGGCTTTGTACCTTTTCCACACACTGTTCCTTTTTACTCCTGTGTAGAAGTCTAAAAAAATAAATATCACCTAGAAAAGACGAATAGAATTATATTTATAACATTATATATTACAAGAAGACAACGACCGAATGCCAAGGATTATCTCGATATTTCCTCACAGGAATCGCTATGGGAAAGCTCGTTTCATCATCAAGTCTCAAGTCAAGCTTCTAAGATGCAGCTTTCCCATTGGCTACTAAATGACTGTGTAATTAGCTTCGACGGCTTACGGAACGCATAAGATCTGTCATACGACATCCTAACTGCACTCCCCATATTAACCGCAACCGTTGCGTGACTCGCAAAACTGTGACAGGTAACAACGAGTAACAACACTGAAATACGAATCCAGGTGGTCGAAAGTAGACCTTGGTAAGAAAGTATATTAGATAATATTACAACCAATTCTTTAATAACCGACGGTTTAATTCGGACATACACTGCGCCGACAGTCGTCAGCTGACGCAAATAATTGCTTTGAGCAACATTAGGCGCGCGCAACGCATCGTTTTTAATGACAATCCGCTCTGTCTGCCATCGACAATCTGCAGACGACGCAAAGCGCTATCGTCAGCGGAGATGGATTCGTCGAGCCGTAGGACACAGTGTATTCCGGGTTTACGTTTCAAGAACAGCTTTCTCCTAGTTTTAATGTGAATTATTATTTCCATTTCGTTAAAATTTGTCATTTAGGCCTATTACTTTTTTTTTCAGAATTTAGAAATTCAGAGATGGCTTTTTCAAGTGCAACACGTTGCGTAATTGTTGTGGTATTGGCTGTGGCAATACTGGGTGTGCTAATGGTTCCCTCTGAAGCGAAACCCAGGGGATTCGGCAGGACGTATACAAGGAACAGTTGGAAGACATCCAAAACAAGCTCACGAGTAAGTCAACATTTACGCATTAGTATTCAGATTTATTACAGGATGTCTTATTTTTTATATTTAGGGTTAAATAAATATATTTTTTTTCCTACACGTTAGCGAATTATATAACAGAACGGTGTTCCATAAACTATGTCTCTTTATGGAGCTTAAGGAGTAAATTCTTGTGTTTGAAGCTTAAGACAGGCTGACCTTTTGATGTCAATACTTCAAGTCGGATTAACCGTATACGAATAGGATTTTGATAGGAATTTCCATCAAGAGAATCAAATACTGTAGATAAAACATAAGTTGAATAATATAGATAGTAGCCTAGTAAATTGCAAATTCATTATGTGAAAAAACTCCAAATAAAAAAATTACATTCCATGAATATATAAATGGGTAAACAACCAGTTTTATTATTATTATTTTTTTTTTGTAAAAAAAAAAAAGGAACTACTAATCAATTTTTTTCACAGACATTCTAAGACGAGTATAAGTGCGCACTCGATCATCTCATCTTAATAACCGACATGTAACAGACTCATCAATAATATTCGGGATTTTTTTTAAATATATTTTTTGCATAGACTATTAAAAGTGTGAAAATCAAAACTTTTTTTTCTCTTATGTGCCGGAAGTCACAGGCAATATTGTACTTCCCATTTCATAATAAATATTATTACATTTCAATAATAATAATGATAACAATAATAATAATAATAATATTGAAGAAGAAGAAGAAAAATATTTGGTAATAATAACATTGGCATCAAGAATAACAATCGTAATTATAATTATAGCAATTATAGTATTAATAATGATAAATAACAATCATATAGTATTAATAATAATGAAAATAATACCAATGTCAAACTGTACAAATTAATTTTTTTCTGTGATTATGTTTTCCGCCTTGAAGAAATATTTTAACATATTTTAATAGTATTGCCATGATTAAGGATGTAAATATACAGAACATAATTTTCCGTTTGCGATATACTGTACCGGTACATGGTACATAGGCCTACTTAAATTCTACCATTATCATCTATATTAGCCTAGAATAGGCCTATTTCTTAAAATCATAAGAGTTAAAATCTTTTTGATCTATGTTTATTATTCATATAGCCTAATCCTTTTAAATAAGAAATTGTTCTTGAGAGTTTCGAATTTTACCACGTGCAATAATATATTTTATAATAGTAATATGAAAATAATATATTAATATATAGATTTAATATAATAATGTATATTCCATGATTAAATAATTGAGTATTAGTTTTAATTTCAATTGTCTTAGCCATCCGGGCACTGAAAACATATTTCTAAAATAATTTAATGAACATCAAAATAATTGATTCATATTACATTATCGATTGATGCCTGAATGATTAATAATGAAACAAAATATTTTTGCTGCGTGTAATCATATTCTGTTAATGGTATGGACCTTTCCGCTAAGCCCCGCCCCTTGGATATTGTTGCTAAGACGACAGTGTTAAAACATACGCGAACACGTGCGTTTGTGGGACAACACGTGTGTTTGTGAGACGCGCGCGTATCCCTAGCGCTGTTCTGATTAGTCAGTTGATAAGTTTGATTGACACTCCGGAAAGCTCTATTATGTCGGCCCTCTAAAGTTGGGCAATCACTGCTGCGCCCGACGGTCGCCAGCCGACGCGATTCTATAGAGAACGCAATGCCACGACGGACGCGCAACGGATCGTCTTTAATAACGATCCGTTCAGACTACCACCGACAATTAGCAGACGGCGTTGCGTCGTCTAGCGCTCACAGGGAACGGGGCTGGATACGTCGGCCGACGGTCGTACGACCGTCGTACGACGCAGTGAGTGCCCGGCTTAATGTATTTCCTTATATTTGTATTAACAATTGTATTCATCCAGCTAAAATGATCAGACGTAACTACTCGTACGTTCGTTCACACTTTAACCATTTTGTGTTCTTTTATATTTGAATAGAAATCCTGTTTAACGGATAAAGACACAGATGCTTGTGGAATGGGTGGAAGAGGGTGGCTTCAGAACCTATCGGAGTGTTGCTCGGGTTACAAATGCGTGTACGTTATCAAGAAAGTCAACACTTTTTCCAACTTTAAACCAACTCCCGTGTGTAGGAAAGCCTGAATAAAGTGAAATGATAATCTTCGAAGTTCCAGTATGTCTTATTATTTTTTTTAAAATGCACACGATCTACAAAAGCTTAAATCAAAACGGAAATCGATTGGTAGTTATAATGTGAGATATGTTGACGCGTATAAGAAACCTCTGACTCAATAAAATACATTAAAAATCATGAAGAGTTTAGTCATCACGAGACGGGTTAAACTATGCGTTACATCTGCCGCGATATATCACATCAGTTACATAATTATTTATTAAATCTAATGCACGTGCTTATTAATTAAATTATTTGTTTAGTGCAAATTATTGTATACTTCTCCTAAAGTAGGCCTATTATTTATTGAATTGTATATAATATATTCTGTAAATTTTATATAATGTACATAAGCAGTGGATTTTATTAGTCAGAATAAATTATTTTTGTGCATTAGAAAATTGTCTCTTAGCATTCTTGTGATGTGTGTTTGTGTTATGATAATGAGAAATTAACGGGGTGCGAGAGACCGGATTGACATTCGTTTCATATCTTATGGTATTTTGTAGCGGATCAGCTGTGTCTTCACTAACATTTTTCCTGAAAACCGATATTATTTAGTGATCCAGGTTTTAGACATGTTGATTGGTTAATGAAGTACGCGTTAGGCCTAATGCCAAGCATAAAGGTAATTAGTTCTCACTACTGCAAGTGTGTTGAGATGTTACGGCGCCTGGTAGACGTAAAATGCTTCACCTTCGTTCAGATTATGTTTATAGAAATTGTATGATTGACGAGACTGACAAGTGATTGATGGCTTCCATTTGATGACGTACTGTATATTTTTACCGGTATTGTTGAATGTTGAGCATTAAAAAAAAAACAATGACTAATACTTAGTACTATTACTACTATACTAATACTATTATTATAATAGATTTTATTATTATTTTTATTATTAGTATAAGGCCTATATTATTATTAATATTTTTATTATTATTAGGCCCATAAATATTATTTACGGCATAAAGCGTAAATTTCCAGTGATTTTCCTCCTTGACAAATTTGAATGATATCGAATTATCTTGACGTCAGAGTGTTTGAGTTAAAAGTGTGAACAAATGTGTGGTGAGTTTTGACAAAACTGTCATGTAAACAGATCATACATTTTCGGCTCTTTAATATAATGTTTTTGATGAAACAACCATGTAAGCAAGTAGACGAATCACTTTCGTAATTCAGGTATTCGTTAAGGGTGTATTCATTTATATATAAAGTATAAGCATATATATATATAATATATATATATATATATATATACAAAGTAAACAAAGTTGAGGAAAAGTACATCAAACGGTTGCCGTCTCTTCGACGCATCATAACTTGGAGTTGGAGGGCGAACTGTATATATATATATATATGTATATATATATATATGTATATATATATATACATATATACATTATATATATTATATACATTACGATAAAGACGGTAAGTTCTAACCTGCCTTCCAGAATGCATATATATGTATTATATAATTGAGAAAGTTAAAGTAGAGTAATTTGCGATAGTAAAAAGCAAGTTTCCGAAACTGAAATTTGTCTGGACTTTTTGCTGCCTATGCCGTCGCGTGTGCAAAAAAAAATATTTTTTTTATCCATATATAGCCATATCCACATTATATAAAACATACCGCAACTGTAGAGACGGCATAGTTTAATACATAAAATTGTGTAATTATTAGAACATGGGCTAGTACTATATAAATTATATGAATTGTAAACAGTTTTCATATAATACAGTAAAAACTATGAATTATTTAAATGCTTCATATTAGGCCCAATGAAGTTGAGGCAAGAGCTAAAGAACTAAAGCAATCAAATATCACTAAAGGTGAAAAAAAAAAACCGTTTGAATATGGTAATAGCTTTACGGCGACACATGCTAAACCTATGAATGAAAAACAGATAAATTGCACAAAATGAACTTCTAAGAAAAAGTAAAAAAGAAATACGGGCCGCCAAAAAATATATGTATCGTATAATAAACAAAGAAGTAAGACATGTGAAAATTGACACTAACACTAGCACAGAAGTATCATGTGATTTACTAGCGCAGAACGATTACGAAAGAGAAAATAAAATACAAATTTTAGCGAGGATTATCACTTGAATTATGAGTAAATCTTTATTTGGCAACCACGCAGAATAACTGTAAATACATTGTTTTAATGATAAATAAACTAAAGAATAAAATAGATTTCCTATAAACGAATGTTTTTTTTTATTTGTGGGATTAATTAGCGTTTTATATGGTATGTTTTTAAAATTCATATAAATAAATTTACGGGGACGGTTGGTACAGTGCGGGTAGGGATCCGGCTTGGGCTTCTAGTTTTCGCTAAGCCCCGCTACAGGATATTATTCTTTCTAAAGGTCCCAAAAAATGACAGCGTACAGTAAACGTACGTAAAACGTAAAACCCGTAAAAGTAAAACCCGTACTCGTGGGACATGCGCGTGTTCGTAGCCTTGTTCTTATTGGTTAGTTGAAGTGACACAATGGAATGGTCCATTTTGAGGTCGGGGGTTAAAAACCTTCGCTATGAATCCATAGGCCTATATGGGTATATTATATTTAATGAAAATAAATGATTGCGGTACACCACGTAATAGTTCTAAACAGTAGACTCTGTCAACAAACTCAACAGTTCTTTTCAGCACTATTTACGTGTTTTCCCGCAATCATTTATTTTTATTGTTACTTCGCCAAGCACAATTTCAAACAATATTTTCTATTATATTTTGGAAATACGTGTTTGTTAGTGAGTGTGTGGGAGAGGTGCTGTGTCTGTAATGGATGGGGTGTGTTTGTTTGATGTTCAACAACATAGATCACGTTGCCGCAGACAGTTGGCACAGCCAACCATCTGTCGACACGGACAAACATTTCCTTGTATAATGTCATGTCTCAAAAACACGTATGATTGCTCAATATTCGTGACTCTGATCGGTTTGGGTAAATATCAGAAAAACGCCGTGTAAATAGAAGCGTTTAAAATGACACGATTGTCAAGTTTACATCGTCATGGACAGTTTATCAATGTCTCACCACAAATGCCACATTAATGATTTTCTTCTGATAGTCATTAATTGAATATGTTATAATGGGGCCCATCATTCATCGTCTGACAATAAGAAAAAAAAAGATCATTTCTTAGCGACTTTTTCCTCCTTAAATTTTACTAAGCAGCGCAGCACGCCCAACCTTGTCCCACTTACTATATGACCTAATACCATCTCGCTGGGATATCCTTGGTCTCACCATAGACTACCCCGCTAACAATTTTACGCTTAATAAGGTTACAGTTAAGTTATCAGAACATGTTCTTATTTTTTCTTGTAGAACCATAAATACGTTTTTATAACCTAATATCTGACGACATAACGTTTAAAACGTTGATACAACGTTGTGGTAACGTTATTTTTTACATAAAATAAACACAACATCATTATCATTCTTATTGTATCAATGAGTTTAGTACAAAAGGGAACCAATGTATACAGCTAATCATGCTTGGCACCTAATCATCTCTTAAACTACAACATTATGACATATTCTTTAAAAAAAAAAATAATAATAATAATAATAATAGGTCTATCACGTGTTACATAATAATAATAATAATAAAACAAAAAATAATAATAATAATAATAATAATAATAATAATAACAATAAATAATAATAATAATAATAGTTATTATTATTATTATTATTATTATTATTATTATTATTATTATTATTATAAATAGTAATGATAATAATGATAAGATACAACGTTCGTGAATGTTATAATAACGTTTTGTGGGTAGTTCAGTATTTATCAATAATCATACCGCCAGATATTATTGCTTTTCTAGATTATTTTTTTCTTTCAGCCGTTAAACATTTTGATTAGGGTGTTTATCTGGCTGAGCGCTATACGACATTACGAACTACTCAAACCGATAAATCTGTTCCGTACAATTAAAATGAATCGACATAAATACTCGTGTACAATTTTGTCAACATGTTTTTAGGCTTGTTATTGTTTTATTACGAATATTAAAAATCAATTCGGGGTTGAAAAGGACAAGAAGGGGGACGAAATTTTACGAATTGTAATTCCAATGGGGTAACAAAAAATAGCCTATTGGTGCCATGGTAGATATTATTAATTGCATCGATTCTTATATATTCAATTAAAAATTGGAGCTATAAATCTTACGAGATGGTGCATTAGGCCAGAGGTAGCTGCAGCCGGCTACAGTACTTTTTTGGTCTGCCATGGCTGGCTCGACAGCCGCCTCCCCCTCCATCTACTTGAATGTCGAAATTGCCACCCTTGTTTTTATAATCTGGATCAACCTCTGATCAATTAACGTAAGATACTGGATCAAATATTACTGGCGGGCTTACGAAGACGCTTACTTTGTCAAGAATAATATTTGCGAGCTCGATGACTTCTACTCGTTTCGATCATAGGCAACATTGATGGCGCTATAAACAACATCGATACGTTCCTCGACTGGTTATGAACCACAGGCCCAAGGGGGTGTTGTTTGTGAGATTAAAACTGCTCAATTAGCCTATTAATGTTATCGCAATTACTTTTCTTCGTTTCATTTTAACTTTAAGGGTCACGAGAAGCCCCTGGATGTAACTTGGCTAACATGCTACTTTGTTGGCACACATCAAAGTCGAATAATCATCATCATACTACGCAATTTAGGCCAAGCGAACTTGACCCCATTTATGCTTATCTGAACTATGCTGATGCAACTATACGACACAATCGAGGGATACTGATTTTAATATATAGGCCCAAAGGTTAATATACGGTCCATACATATTGAAATATGTCCCATCATATAGATATTATATCTTTCCAGTTCAATGGCAATTTGCAGTACCGCTGCTACTTGGGGCCCATCAGATTGAACACTAGCCAGTAAGCGCTAGCTCAGTGGTCTAGTGATTATACACCAGGGTAGTCCTGGAGGCCGTGGATTCATACCCGAATCACTTACGAGATTTATTTTCGCAAGAATTAATAAATAATAAATAAATATATATTTAGAATGTACTGAGTGTTTAGCAAAAACATCACTACTAATATAATTACCTGTAAACAATTTGTTTTAGTGCATGAGACATTAGAAATTAAACATCATACTATGATTTTTATTTATTTTTTTTTCAAATAGGTATAATAATGATGTGTGCCTAACCATGTAATCATTGATACATATTGTAATAGAAAAATTCGATATATAATAATCAATATACTGTGATTGAATTTATGATAGATAGCGATGTTTCAGGGTAAACATAGGTTAGCTTATATTTACACACGCTGACTTTTAATTACTCATTCATTCATTTGCACAAATCCACTTCATTTACCCGAGGGCCCGAGGGTGTCATATCACATAAAAGCGAGATCTTGTTCAATGGGCGTGATGACGTCACGCTGTGGGTGATTTCAATCAAAGTAACCGATCGCGTATTTATTATCAATCATACTTAATAATGACAAAGTGTATACCTACACGTTTCGTTGGAAGACACGAAGATGATAAAGAAATCATTTTTTTTAATCTATAGGCCTACCTCTGTGGAGTGGTACCATATATAGGCATATATATATACTGTCTCTTATACACATCTAGATGTGTATAAGAGACAGTCTATTACGTGTCACA